GGAACATATAAAATAGACCAGAAATGAGAGCCGCCCACTCGGGTTCACAGACTTAGTAGCTTCCAAATTAAAAAATAAATCTAAAGTCGGGGAATGATCTTGATTTCAGCACAACGACAGCCTGGATCTCAAACATGAAAGTATCTGCTCTGACTCTAGGCTGAGCTGACCACAAGGTGGCACTCTTGATTCTCTCATTCTAGTGAAGGAACTGACTCTATCCCTTGAAGAGGAGAGGTGGCTGAGCACCCCTCCCTCTCTCCCCCCTTTTCCTCCTCCCTTGGTCCGAGTTCACTAATTCAAAAGCTAACGGCTGCAGAGTTCCCAAGTTTAACCTTATAAATACTTTATGTGCTGATTTACAACAGCCCAATGTACTGCTGGATAGACACTCACTAGGAAGTGCATAACCCTCTGCACTGGAGGTGTTCTCTATTACACTGAGACATTGTCTTTAAATCTGTCCTCAAACACATACAGATACTGGTGGACTGACTCGTGTGAATACATATTTATTAATATCAGCTCTGCAACTTTGGAGGAATCCTACAAACTCAAAAATGCACAAACACATGACTGGATTCAGAGCCGATTTCTTGATTAATTGATGAGTCGACTGAAAGAAAATTGATTGCCAACAATTTAGATAATACATGAATAAAATAAATATATATTTTCAAAGATTCTTCACCAGCGAAAATACCAAATGTCTAACCTCTCAAATGTGTGGATTTGCTGCGTTCTCAATTAATGTTTATATTAAACTGAACATTTTTTAGTTTTCTATTTATGATTAAGGTGAACAGGAATTAGAGACATTTTTCACACCTGAAAGACAAACAATTGTTGTTTACCTGAGAAAATAATAGATAAATAATCATATAGGTGTAGCAGAATTTGAATCCCCCGTTATTTCCTTTTTTTGTTGAGCCATCAAAAAAACAACTATTAGAGTTTATCAAAATGCAGACTGCAGACCAAACCAGGCCTGACACAAATCTTTATTTTTATATCATTTATGCAGTAATATTTTTTGCCTTCATCAGGACATTCATCTGTTTGTCTGTCTGTAAGTAATCAGTGGAGAGCAAGCGTATGTCTGCGAATGTGTGAAGGAAAGCAGGGATTGGCCGGGCCTGTTCAAGGACGGTGACAGACTATGGGTTGGAGAGGGGGTGTTTCTCCGGGTCGGAGGTCGTCTGGACAGCCTGGCTTTGGCCGTGACCTTTGTTCAAACCCCAATCTACCCGAATAACTGCTAGAGTGCGTGTCTTTGTGTGTGTATGTGTAGCCGTGTGTGTATTTGTTTGAGAAGCTCTGATAGTTGGCTGGGGTATCTAAGTGTGCTCTGGATGTGCTTGTGTGTATGTGTGTGTATTTGTGTGTGTATATATATGTGTGTGTGTGTGTGTGTGTGTGGTGCAGTTCATGGCCATGAGGGCCTTCCTGCCCCAAAGAGGTCGGAACCGGGGTTACCATGGAGACGAGACCTAGCAACACTCTTGCCACTAAAATGATACTGGGCCGATGGCAATGGTCTCACTTCAAGTTGACATATTAATACGTACGACACAATGAACCGTGATATTAAATCTGAGAAGAAATACACACAAATAAATATTACAAATTGACAATTATTATCTTTTTAATTATTGTTTAGGGAATATGAGATGTGTGTGTGTGTGTTTTGGTCACTGCTAAGTAATGTTCGTATGATAATAAACACCACACACACACACACGCACTGTATATATACACGTACACAAGCTGATAGTGGGACCCAAGGGAGGAGGATGGGGGAGGCTGGGGCCTCCAGAGGGCCATCAATCACTCCACTGTCAGGGAGGGAGGGAGGGAGAGGCAGGGAGGGAGGAATGGGGGGTTACTAAGAGAGAGGAAAAAAGGAATAGTGAAGAAAAGAGGGAAGGGAGAAAGTGATGGCAATGAAGGTGAATGATAGAGAGACAAGAACAAAAAAGACTGGAGGAAGGATATTAGCTGGGGGTGAGGGCGGTGGGAGGAAGACGGAGGGATGGAGAACGAGTGTATAATGGGTCATTGCAGGGACAATTCGGAGGTCTCCAAACCTGCTCAGTATCCCTCCACGGCTCGGCCCTCCTATATCTAGTGCCGCCTCAGGCCCGGAGCACACACTGGCTCTAATTCATATAATCCATCATATTATATTCCTCCTCTTATAGAGGGGACAGAGCACGGCTCAGTGATGGAGCCACCAAGGCCTGTACACAGTCCTACAGCAAGACTCTATTCTGCAAGGTGAGAGATTTAACATCCACCGTTTGTGTGTGTGTGTGTGTGTGTGTGTGTATGCGCAGGTGTAGCCCCATGAGGAGTTGCAGGATTATAAACAGTGGGTCTACAGAGTGGAGTCTGTAGTGACGAGACTACAGAGGTTGAGGTTTTGTATGTGAAGCAGCAGGCGCTAAAACACACTCACACTGTTGGCTACCATGGGACCTGTGGCCATCACACACACACACACACACACACACACACACACACANACACACACACACACACACACACACACACACAGCTGCCTACACCTTGACAACACAGATTCCTCTCCTGTCCTAATACCTCTCAATCGTTCCTTTTCCTCTGGCCCCTCCGCCCTTCCATCCTTCTCTCACACCATTTCCCTCCCTTCTATATCATCTCGGCAGCCCATGGGGAGCCGGGCTTGTCTAGACAGACACCGCTCTCTCCCACGGCGCTACCAAGGTTGAAGCTCAAATATTTTTCCTCGCTCCTCTCACCCTTGCTTCTTGTCCTTCTTCCTCTACATCTCCCTCCTCCTCTTGGCACAGGAGTGAAAGGTCTGCTGGGAGGAACTGGTGGCCTTCATCGTTGGCTCAACAAACACTGAGGAGGCTTTGGACCAAACTGTTCACTGACAAACAGTGGGAATACTTTAGGTGCAGCAACCCTTGTCTTTCTGTGCTCTGTCTGCCCACATGTTTCCAGTTTCACCTTGGCCGGTCCTTCACCTACTGTGCCTCTTTTTCCTTCAAACCCTCTCATCACCATCATCCCAGTCTTTTTTTGCGACCTTCCTGCCTCCTTTACCTCCAATGCAAACTTTCTCTTCTCCTTCTCTTGTCTCTCTTTCTCCCTCAGACCTGCTGGTCAGCAGCAGCTGTGACATCACTGGCCACTGTTCTCCACTCGGATTGGACACTCGGCCACGTTGCCAGGCAACAGCAGTGAAAGGTCTCAGTGTGAACGTGTGTGCGGCGTGCGCATGTATGTGTGTGTTTATGTCTGTTTATAGCTACGTGAGTGAAAGGTGTGTGAGCGATTTTCCTCGCCTTGCCCTTTATCTGTGCATGAAGAATGATCAGAACAGATCTACGTCAGTGCTTTATCTCAGATCAAAGCATGTAGATGATTGGGCTGCCTCAACACTCTCCTCCACCACAGAAGAAGAAGAAGAATGTGTGTGTGTTGCATTAATGAAAAAAAAAGATGGTACAAGTGCGTGTGTCAGTGTCCTCACTTGCGTCGAACCAAATAAATGTGTCTCTTCGTGTCGAATATGGGTATGTGTCTATATGTTGTGCGTGCATGTGTGTGTGTTTGTGTGTGTGTGTGTGTGTAAGCCCCCGGGAGAGGGTGGTTATTGTATCTGACACAGCGGCTCTTTCTCGCGCCTCATATTTCTGGGCCGATCGATTCCTCTGACTCCCGACAAGACAATAATCGCACCTCCCTCTCTCACTCCATCACTACCATTATTACTGACCTCCCCAGGGAACGGACAGGGTGGAGGGAGGGAGACAGGGATGAGGAAGAAGGGAAGGATGGAAGGATGGAGGTTGAGGAATGAGAGGGGGACATAAAGTTGACAAAATGAGCCTATGATGATGAAAAAGCAAAAAGGAACAATGTCGAAAATGAGACAGGAAGAGGTGGCCTGGAAAAAACAGGACATCAGCGGGGTAGAAAGGAAAAGAGACAGATAGAAAGGGAGAGAGGGTGCAAACACGGAGGCTGAGATAAGGCGATGGAGGGATGAGGTCCGAGGGAGAGAGGGGAGCAGTAAAGATAGGGATGTGTGGTCATAGAGTG